TGACTCCCCGCCCAAGAAAGAGGACTGCTGGAAACACCTGAGAAACAAAAAGACTGAACTGGGGGGAAAGGGCTGAACCCAGACTAGACGGTTGTCTAGCCTGTGAAAGGAATAACTGGAGTTTTAAGCTGCAACAAGTGTAGCTTGCCTTCAAGAATCTCTGCAATCTGGCTAAAACAACATTAAGGGTGAGAATTTGCAACACATATCCAATTTCTTTAGTATAATAAGCTTAGATTGTGTGTTTGTTGTATTTGCTAGGTCATCTGCTTTGATCTGTTTGCTATCCCTTATAATCACCTAAAATCTATCTTTTGTAGTTAATAAACTTGTTTTGTCTAAAACCAGTGTGTGGAAATCATAACTGTGGGGCAGAAAGCTGTGAATATTCCTCTCCACATTGAGGGAGGGGGTGAATTTCATGAGCTTACGCTCTACAGATCTCTGTGCAGCACAAGACAGTATAATTTTGGGTTTACCTTCTAGAGGGGGGTGTGCACTTGAGTAATGGGCAGTTCCTTAGCTGAGCCTTCCCATGCAGAGCAGATCACAGCATCTGTGTGAATCTGCAGCTGGGTGTGTCCCTACCTGTATGTGTAATGGTAAAGTGCAGTCTGAAGCCTGAGGGAGGGCTCAGCAGAATGCACAGCAATACAGTGTAAAGGGAACCCAGGCTGGTGGGCCAGGTGGGCTCAGTATCCCTGTTCCAAGTGGCATCCTAGGGGGGAACCCATCACAGTTACCATTTCAGTTTCCTAAATGGGGCTCTCTCCATCTTCTAACCCTCGACCTTCCCCCAATTTGCCTTTATTAAAGCTACAGGAAACAATCTTAAGCAATCCTTAAAGTAACAGGTAATGTTCTTGCAATCAAAAATTAACCTTTTGTACAAGAACATGCATCAATTTAAGATTTTCTTTGTATGTGGTCAATCTTTAAAATAAAAAACGCATACACTGGGGATACTCAGATGCAATTCTAGCACAAATCTGTGTGTGAATACTAACACATTTGCTCACTGCTAATGAATTTCGGATGCACAGTACAGACCACATTGGATCCGAATATGTATCTATCAGAAATACAGACACATACATTCTATCAGCAAAGTTTCAATGCAATCTCATACAGTCAGCTGCTAAAGAAAATGAAATCTCATATTTGTGAACTGCACATTTTCGGTATTAAAGACTACTTAATACAATCACCTTACAGTACTTGATGCTTTTATATTGTACTCCATTTGTACAAAGAAAACAATGGAAAAACAATACTCATCCTGTTCGAGATAAAGATTTAATGTGTTACAAAGTAACAGCATGATCTTTTTGGCAGCATTCTACTCCTGAAAAGTTTTCCTTGTACTCAGAGTTAACGATTTTTTCCCACACCCTCACCCTCGAGTTAAAGATTAATATTTTACCAATCCAGAAGTACAGTTTTATAAAAACTGGTACAACTATGCATTCAGCATTGCATGGTAAATTTGAAATTGTCCCAACAGAAGCAATAAAGGCAATGTTTTCATTATGATGCAGTGAAAAATTATAGCTTGCCACTTTTCATTTCATTAGTTATTTCTACAAAGTAGCAGACCATCAGCCAGATCCTCAGCTGATGTATATCCACGTAGGTTCCACTGACTACAGTAGAGCTATGCCAATTCATACCAGCGTAGGATCTGGCTCCAATACTTTTTTTTAAGTAGACAGAAAGACTGTCACTTACAGTATTTTACCATTAGCACTTGGGTGTGTGGAACTGATGAAGCATTTATTATTATAACATTAGAGATAAGTCAGACAAAGTTAGAAGAACAAGTAGAAAATGTTATTTCTTTGTCTGACGTGGAAAGGCAGGGTTGTGAGCAAAGGGAGTGAGCTAAAGTAGTCATTCTCAGTCTTTCCAGACTACTGTACCCCTTTCAGAAGTCTGATTTGTCTTGCGGTACCCCCAAGTTACACCTCACTTAAAAACTATTTGCTTACAAAATCAGACATAAAATACAGAAATATCACAGCACACTAGTACTGAAAAATTGCTTTCTCATTTTTACCATATAATTATCAAATAAATCAACTGGAATATAAATATTGTACTTACATTTCAGTATATAGAGCAGTATAAACAAGTCATTGTCTGTATGCAATTTTAGTTTGTACTGACTTCGCTAGTGCTTTTTATGCAGCCTGTTGTACAACTAGGCAAATATCTAGATGAGCTGATGTACCCCCTGGAAGACCTCTACGTACCCCAGGGATACATGTACCCCTGGTTGAGAACCACTGAGCTAAAGCACAGGAATAAATTTTCCCTGAGCCTAAACAAGACATACCAGCAAAAGGTATAACAAAGAAAATGGTTCAGTATCCTCATGCTCCACAAAAGCCAAGATGGATGTATTTTTCAAGTGTTTTTATTAAATAGTTATCATCATTACTATAAGAAAGTCAATTAATATACATGAGAAAATACAGACTTCCACATTCATACCCAGTTCCTTATTCACTAATTTGGACAAAGCAAAAAGTGAACACCAGACAGTTTCTCATTAATATATTGATTTTTTTAATCACTCCAAAAACCCTGCCTGCAAGGCAATGTCATTACATTAGAGGCTGCTGAATATCCTAGTAAAGATTTGACTGGGCATTTTCAGCAACAACAAAAATGCTCTTTCTACAAACTTCTCTGCTGCCAGTTCCCTTTCTCCCTTTGTATCCAGCCTACTTATGCCCATCTCCCCTATACACAGTGCTAGGCCTTTTCCCTAGCACATGTCACCTAACCTCCTGATGCCCTTCACCAGCAGCTCTAGACCAGTGTTTTTCATATCATGGGTCGAGACCCAGTACTGGGTCGCAGCATTTCAGGCACTGGGTCGCCTTGCTCTGGTCAGCACCGCCAACCAGGTTGTTAAAAGTCCCGTTGGCGGTGCTGCCCAGCTAAGGCAGGCGAGTGCCTACCTGCTCCGACACTGCGCTGTGCCCCGGAAGCGGCCAGCAGCGGGTCCGGCTTCTAGGCAGGGAAGCCACGGGGTCCCGCGCGCTGCCCCCACCCTAAGCACCGGCTCTGCACTCCCATTGGCCGGCTACCGGCCAATGGGAGTGGGGGGCGGTGCCTGCGGGCAAGAGTTGCGTGAAACCACTTGTGCGTCTCTGCCTAGGAGCTGGACCTGCTGCTGGCCGTTTCCGGGGTGCAGCACGGTCCACGGTGCCAGGACAGCCGGGAAATCTGCCTCTGCACCCCGGCTGCGCCACTGACCAGGAGCCACCAGAGGTAAGTCCGTGCCCCAACCATGTGCCCCAATCCCCCCCAATCCCAGCCCAGAGCCCTGACCCCCTGTCACACCCCAACCCGCTGCCCCAGCCCTGAGCCCCCTCCCACACCCTGAACCCCTCATTCCTGGGCCCCCTCCCACAGCCCTCACCCCCGCACCCTAACCCTCTGCCCCAGCCCTGAGCCCCTCCCACACCTCAAACCCCTCATCCCCAGCTCCATTAGGTTGTGGGCATCAACAATGTTCTTCAACTGGGTCCCCAGAAAAAAAGTTTGAAAAGCACTGCTCTAGATGAGCTGTCCAGCTTCTGATCCTCTACTTCCCAACTCTTCACAGCTCTTCACAGGCTATCCACCTTCTTCCCCACTGTTCTTCAGGATACTCTTCCCCCACTGGCAGCTCCTGGCTCCTTTCCCATTTGTCTGTGGTTAATGGCTCCAGTACTGCGGCTGCCTCCCATTTTGAGAGCCTTCTATTTCCTGTCCTTGTCTTACACTGCAGCTAGACTGGTTCCTCCAGTTTTTTCCTAGTTGGTTTTACAAGCAGCCAGGCTCCTTTTTAAAGTGGAAGATGTTTGTTTTGCTCAAATTTTAATTAAGTAGTTTGCTGCATTCTTGTTCTCTAGGTTTTGTCAGCTTTAGAGCTGCTAGATAAAACTTGTCAGGAATTTTCAGTCAGAATGATTTTTCAATGGAAAATGAAGTTTCTGTAAAATTAAAATTACCCATGAAAAAATTTTGACTGGCCTTTTTGTTTTTATTTTCCATAAGGAAAACCAAAACAAAATATTTAGCGTTGGTCAGTTTGAAATATTTGGTACAAGAACTACATCTCCTATGATGCAATGCAGTCTCTCCTCTAACCAAGCAGCATGGTGCATCATAAGAATCACCTATCTGCAGGTGCCTTATACCAGGTGTAGTCCAGCCAAGGAGCTCAGACCACAGGAGAGAATGGCGGCATCAGGCACCCAAACTACACAGCCCAGAAGACGATACACCACCACACGGAAATGCAATTTAATGTCAAACTAACATGAAAGGGCACATCTCAGGTCAGTACAACAAATCAAATTAAAACATTTTGATTCAGGAATATCAAAATGTTTTTAATTGAAAATGCTGAAACAAAATGTTTTGTTATTTCTGAATCAAAATTTTTCAAAATGTTTTGATCGACAAAACGTTTGATATTTTAACTTTTTTTTTTTGGTGAAAATTATGCATGCACAAAGGAACACAGATAGAAATGTTGCTGTGATGCAATGATCTTCAGGACTCAAGAATTCCAACTGATTAGCTCTGGAATATCACATCAGAATTAATACAACTAGTAACAATATTGAACTACTTGAAACATCTGTATCAATTGTTTCATTAAAAAAAATATTAGCACACGTAACATTTCAAGCCAGAAAAGCTACATAATATTCTCAAATATCTCTTTAAAGCAGATCTTTCCTATTATTTATGTAGGAATATTTATTTTATCCCTAGTTTCAATTTTATAAAAATCATTTAACTTATTCCTTTGTCAAAAATTAATTGTTAATATTATTATGGACAAAGGAAACACACTGGTATGTGAGTATACATCATCATTCAGAAGATTTTTGATCTATTAAAAAAGTCTCTATGCATTTTAAAGCACAACAAAATATAACCCTAAAAATAACAAGTCCATGGAGTAAGAAACTCCAGTTTTTCTTATACTCACTCACCTTACAATACAGAGGCAGATTTTGCCTCCTGATGTTAACCGGCAAAATCCAAACTTTTGCTTACTTTCAATGTCTGTAAGCACAAAGGTAAAGTGCTGTCCTACTTGATTTTGGGACACCCTAAAAAAAAATAAAAACAGATTGTAAAATGGCTAAATCATATATGACAGTACACTGGGAAAAAAACAGTTTTAAAATTTTACAAATATCTAATTCAGTTAGCAGCATGGACAATACTTTTTCTAGGAAAAAACAGTATTTTAAACTATGAAAAATGACAACACAATGATAAGTTCTCACAAATCCTGTAATCAAAAGTAAGCAAGTTTTGATCCTAATCTTCAAGGTGCTCAATGGCTTAGGTCTGGGATACCTAAAAGATCACATAACACTCCAAGATGAGGACTGATCCACCATGCCACACCTCAGGCACAGTGGAACATTCTACCACAAGGGTAAAGCTTGTCTGTGCAGGAGACAGCACTTTCTAATTTATTACAAATACACACACACACATGTTAAAGTAATGTTAGGATTGCAAAGTCAAGCACTCAAAAGTCACTAAGTGCCTGTGAAAAAAATAGTGTGAGATAACTGATTTAAAGACGGTATCATAATGCATACACACAAGGAGGCCGAGTTAAGGTTGCACAGCAGTAACCCTCCCCAAGCTTCTCATTTCTCTCACCCCGAAAGTCCTTGTCCAAGTCTTCTTGCCCAGCAAGTCCCAGTCTCCACCCCAGGTTCCCATTCCTGTCAGCCCCACACCCATCCAAGGCTCCTTGTCCCAATCTATTCCTTTAAGTAACACAAGTAACATCTTAGAGAGACAAGGTGGGTGAGGTAATATATTTTATTGGACCAACTTCTGTTGGTGAGAGACACAAGCTTTCGAGCTTCTTCAGGTCTGGGAAACGTACTCAGAGTTGGTCCAACAAAAGATATTACCTGACTCACCTTGTCTCTCTAATATCCTGGGACTGACATGGCTAAAACAACACTGCATTCAATGAGTAACATCTATCACATGTGGTTTGTTCCCTCTCAGGGGCCTGTCTGAGACTATGGAATGAACTCCCACAAGAACAAAGGACCATTACAAGCTTTCCCACCTTCCACTCCAAGTGCAAGACACACTTATTTAACCTGCCTTCTGTCATATAAACACAGAGCAGATGCACATTTAAGGCGGGGAGGGGGCACTACACTGCACACACAATTCTCTGCCTGTGGAGAAGATGAAAGAAAGAATGAACTACATTCAATGAATGTTAGTCACATTGTTTAATCTGAAGGTACTCAGATTCTACAGCACCGAGGCCATATAAAAAACCATATAGAACAAGCAACAACATGTCAGGTTTGGCATTCATAACAAATTGGTCCTCCAAAGGACCAACTGAATTAGGACCTATCTGCACATAAATTGGCTGTACTGAAACATGAGCCCTATTTGAGTATGCGGGTAAATAAATCAACAACTTGTCTTTACTTTCAAGGGCCTTTTTCACAGCTTAGAACCTCTAATATGGTATATAGCTGTCAACCCGTCTCTGCTCTGTCAACATCATCAACCTGCATTGCCTATCAGTTAAATTTTCCAGTGAACACCTCTGTGCTTTCTCCTACACCTTGCCCCTTTGCATCAGAGGATGTCCCTATAAAAATCTGCACCAGAATATCTTCTTTCAAATCTCTCCCTGAACTCACAGCTGCGTTGATACCCATAATTCACACAGAAATGGCTGGTCTGTAGTTACACACTGATCACAGCATATTTAGCATAATCATCTCACTTACCTTTGCTTTCCCTATTTGCTTGTTGTATCCTATTGTCCAAAGTCTTATACTTCAAATTGAATCATTTTGGGGAAGAAATTGTCTTTTTGTTGTATGTGTATAGAATGCCTAGCACAGTGGGGTTGCAGCCACTAGGCAATATAGCAATACAAATAAATAAAATTAATAATTTCTCCTTCTAGCCATAGCTATATGTGTTTCTAATGTACTGTTTCAGTAAGAGGTTACATTAAAGGACCACCTCAGCATCTTTGATCCACTTGTCTATACTTGTCTGAGCCAACAGAGCTTTATGCTGGAGATAAGACATTCTCAGTAGTGGGCCACTATCTCTGGAAATTGCTTCCCAAAGAAAAACACTTACACACAAACCTAGCACATTCAGAAAACAAGTGCAAGAAGTACAGACCTCTTCATCCATCCTTCCCCAAATGATGAAGCCTCTGATTCTGCAATCAAAACTGTGCAAGCAAACCTTCAAGCCTATGTGGGGCTCTATTTGCTTCTGTGCGGCTGCACACAGATACAAGTGTCCCCCAACCTGGATCAGATTGAGGAGCGAAGCCTAATCTATAGTATTAATTCCTGGGTTCCTATCTGACTAAGGAGAGCTTGGAGTTTTCTCCTCTTATTTAGAACACAGGGTGATCCAATTCAAACCTCATAACAAAATTCTGAGATACTATGGTGATAGGAGTCTTCTGAATATAAATAATAATTCAACCTAACCATATATTGTAAAAATTTATGAAAATTCAGCAGATGTTACCATACAAACAAATGTTGACACTTCTAATTCATGTACCTACTGTATACGTTATGCTGTGATAAATTCTCTGATTAAAGTGATTTTGAGTGATGTCATTTAAATCCAATTAGTTTAATATATTCAGCTTCTTTGGACCCAGGTCTCTCTTACAGAAATACTTAACAGTCCTTTCTGCAATTACCAGAGAACAAGAAAGATGGCTGCTGCAAGCTTTCCTCATGGTGAAAATTCCCCTCAGATCGTTGTGACATATAAATTATTACATATAGTTGCACATTTCATTATAGAGCACAGAATTAATTGGTCTAGCTCTGGTTGAAAAAATATTTTGCAAAGTGTTGGTCAAAAGCAGATAATTTTAACTGAATGTAGTTCACTCTTCTTGAGTAAAATGAACAGATGCAAATTGTTACATATTCTGTTACTGACCTTTTACTCACTCACTCATTCCTCTTTTCTGCCTTCTTTTTTATATGCAACTCCTGCAATGCATGCTTATATATAATTTTAGTTTAACAGTAATAAATCATTAAATAATGAAGAATGTGTATAAACACCTATTAACTCTGCAGACTACAAAGGGCTCTTTCAGGGTCACTATAATCTATCAAATAAATAAATCAAGTTTTTAAAATTGTCTACATCCATTTTTACATAATAATGAAACAGCTCTTTGGATTATATAGTAGATAGGGAGTTCTTTTAAATATCCTTATGTTACAGTTAAACAAATTTTCATACTTGGGCTAGGGTTTGAGGATATATTTTAAAGAAATGTGATATAAAATATAATAGCATTATTCATCCTAACCGTGTCTATTTATGTGAAGGAAAACTGATGGCTATGGCACTATTCTGATTACAGCTCAGCCAGTTAGGTTCTGAAACACTTAAGTGCTGAAAGATTTTTGTGTTTAGAACTTTATCTGGATGAACTGTAAGCAAGGCCAATTTCCCCAGACACTCAAGGAGCTGTTCTAACTCAGAGTACATAGTAGGGGTGCATTCTGGAGCCTGGGTTAAGACCTGGAGGTTTGGAAGACGAGGCTAGAAACAGGTTGATGAATGGTGAAATAAGGACCTCTGACAATCTCCAGCTTTGGGTCCTCAGTCCCCAACTAATTCCTTTCCATGACTCCGAATCCAGGCCCAGTCCTGCCTCCCCAGTTCCAATCCATATTCTATAGCTCTAGCACTCAGATTTGATTCTAGCTCCAGCCAACTTCGAGTAGCTGTTTTCCAGCTTCCCTGATCTCTTATGCCTCCAACAGAAACAGGTAGCAGCCTTAAAGCAAAGAAAGATTTAAACAGCTCAAATTATAAAAAGTCCCCAAACTAGGAAACTCCCACATTAAAAAAAATAGTTAACAGAGTTAAGGTTGCTAAAATGTATTTTTCAATCAACATAAAAACTGAAAGAAACCAAATTGAACAGGATAAGGTGATTCCATCGTTCATTTGATAATTTATCCACATCTTTATGTTCAGTGTGCACAAAATAACTAAATGACCCATTTGGATCACAACCTTAATTCTAACCTTTCCTTGACCAAATTAGTTACTTGACCAAAAAAATCTTAACACAAAATGTAACAGAATAGCCATTTTCAATAGATATATAGAATACATACCTTATACAACACAAGGATTCAACAACAAGCTAACATTTCTTTTCCATATCCCAGAAAACTTATATAATCTTCCATTCCAACAAAGATCATCTACACCTCTACCGCGACATAATGCGACCCAATATAACATGAATTCAGATATAACGTGGTAAAGCAGTGCTCCGGGCAGGTGGGGCTGCACACTCCGGATCAAAGCAAGTTCAGTATAACGTGATTTCACCTATAATGCGGTAAGATTTTTTGGCTCCCGAGGACAGCGTTATATCAAGGTAGAGGTGTATGTATAAGCAAATATGGACTGAATCTTTAATAAACATTGTCTTTAGTAATAAAGTATGCAGTAACAGACTAGCTAACTACTATATATTATGGTCACAGCTAAGATTGTACATTGATCTGGGATGAGTGAAGTATAGAGGGGATGCTGTATATAGTGGAATCACTTTAACTCTACATTTCCTTTATTTTCAGTGTTGGCCTGGACTGAAAATGCTATTTCCTTACTTACTTCTAAAGCAAAGCTTTCTGTATGTGATAAAATACACAGGTACTTTGGTGAGGACTGTAGATCCAGTGACCTCCCTCATCCACTGACTACCATGCTTTTAGACTTTTAGGCCTGGTCTACACTAGGCTTTTATGTCGACTTTAGCGCCGTTATATCGAATTAACCCTGCACCCGTCCACACCAGGAAGCCATTTAGTTCGACATAAAGCTCTCTTTAAATCGATTTCTGTAATCCTCCCCAACGAGAGGATTAGCGCTAAATTCGACATGGCCATATCGAATTAGGCTAGGTGTGGATGGAAATCGACGGTAATAGCTCCGGGAGCTATCCCACAGTGCACCACTCTGTTGACGCTCTGGACAGCAGTCCGAGCTCGGATGCTCTGACCAGCCACACCCCCGGGAAAATTTG